TGGTGCAGTTGAGGGGAAGCTGAATGTTGGGGTTTGAGTTTTGTGTATCAGGTTATTTGGGGTAATTTGTAGCAGTACCTGTGGACAAGGGGTTTGTGATGGTGAAAATGTTCTACATGCTTTGGTTTGGGGATAAGTATATAGCCTTCAAGGTTTGTGGGAGCCTGTAGGCTGCTGATAGCCAGAAATCCTGTTTTAAAGTTTGAGACAGCATCAAGCAATTAAGTTGGTTTTATTCACTGCTAAATCTGGAGAATGGCTCTTGTTGCCCTGGAGGTCTGATGTCAGTAGCTTGGTCAGTGTTGCTGTGAGCAGTTGGGGAGCAGCAGATGGGCACAGTTACTGCAATTTTAGAAGATGAGAAGTTTATCAGCATGTCAGATTTGCCTTTTTATAGATGTGAGAAGAGGATAAAATCCACCTAGTGATCCTGCAAAGAAGCAGTAACTCTCCATCAAGAACAGTGTCTCAATTCCTTTTCTATTCTTGTTGCTTGAGACTGAAACCAACTCCTGAGCTGCAGCTCTGTTAAATGTTTTGTATTTGACTGAGTCAACCTGAATCTCTTCTGCATTCTGACATCCCACCAGCAGCTGTAACTCACTCTGAAGCTTCCCTGCCTAGGTGCAATAGTTATGGTCATTTATCAAGCTGTCATGTGTCCAGAAAACTTCCTAGGCAGCTTCAGAGCCCTCCTGGGCTATGGTAACATTCTCTGAAACTTTCTGCTCTTCCTTCAGTGGGAAGTTTCTGCTCTTGAACAGGTTACCCAGGGAAGTTGTGGATGTCCCCTCTCTGGAAGTGTTAAAGGCCAAGTTGGATGGGGCTTGGAGCAACCTGGTGCAGTGGGAGGTGTCCCTGCCCATGCAGGGGGTTGGAACTGGATGATTTTGAAGGTCCCTTCCAACCCAAACCAGGCTGGGATTCAATAGGAATGTGGCAAAACAGTTGGACTTCGCTGGGTTTGAAACTGTCCCATGTGCCATCTCTAGAAAGAAGGGAAATGTCAACAGGGAGAGAAGATGAATACTTGAAAGAGCTCCTGGTAACAAGACATTCCTTGTTAGTTGCCATTCTTAGAAAGAAACTTGTGTGTTTGATAGTTAGATAAAATTATTTATCAAAAACCAGTATTTTTAAAATAATTCCCTCCATGAGCTCCGTGCTGGTTTGCATTTGCTTTCCTAGCCTTTGCAGTGGATTGTTTTCTAAGCACAGGTAGTAGGACTCAGCCTTTGGAGAAGGGTGGCACATCTGAGTTGGGTCTAATCTTCTTACATGAAGGAGCTTGCATAACAGTGTAGGGAGGTGTGAGAGGGCTGAGTAAGGCTGCCTTAGCAATCCCTGTGGAGTCACTGGAGAGAGTTGGCTGCTACTTAGGGAAGCGAGGGATGGAGGAACTGCACTTCAGACAACATCTGAGGTACCAACTGTGGGAATACCCAGAAGCCTTGTACGTATTTACCAGTCTGATAACAAACAGTTTATGTGAGTCTTTCACTGAGCAGTTTTCTTCTGAAGTGATTTTATGTGTACAGGTGCCTCAAGTAATGAATAAACAGGCTTTGTTTGCTTCAGTCAGAAATAGTAACTTGTTCTTTTGTAGCAAACAGTATTTCTCAAGGCTTTGCTTGCTTTGTACCAGTAAAATAGCTGGGCCAACATGTGTTACTAATCCTGAACACCACAAGATTTGATATCTGCTTAATCAAGAGACGTTGTCAAAGTTCAGGACCTGAGGGCAAAGGCCTGCCACGTAAAGTCAGTTGCAGATACTTTGGGCTCCTAATCATATGCAAATAGAAAGAGACTGGAGGAAGATCAGGGAGGTCTATCTGAAACAGTAAAATCATAGACTCCTGTGGTTATGTGCACGCCTTGGTCAGGTCAGTTGTGGTTACACATGTTAAATTATGGGTGACGTGGCAAATGGGCTTCCAAGTAATTAAACATTCAAGAGAAGTGAGATTAATAACTCTTACTTGCCAGGGGCACAGAACACCTTCTGATGTGCAAGTAACAACAGGCTTGTGAAGAAGGAAAAAGAAAACCCCAAGCCTGGAGGTGTAATGCCAGAGTATGTGAGCTGGGGGATGTGGAAAAGGAAAGGAGAGGGCTGGGTGGGTTTGATGGATGGGTGGGTGGTGGTAGGAGTTACACAGAAGGCAGGTGAACCAGTTGCATTGATTTGTTTTCAGGCTCTGCCCTCTTCTGCAGGGTGATGTTGGCTCTCACCTCTTAGCTAAGCCCGTGCTACATTTCAAATAAACTCATGCAATATGAAAAGCTTTATATGTGTGTTCAATTCCATGAAAGTCTTTTCAGGTACTGTTCTCAAATCTCACACCTTTTTGTTCTTTTGGAGAGTAGGGTATTACCTATGCAAATGTTCCTGTCTTTAGACTGGGTGAGTGGGAGCTCTATAAGAACCAGTGAACACATTTCCAGTTGTCTTGCCCTGAGGTTGTGTTCAGGTTTGAGTCACTGCATCGGGCGTTCTCTTGGGGATGTACTTTTCTTTTATACACATTTGCCTATTTTCACAAAACCAAAAAGCAGGTAAAGTATCTATCTCACTGGCACTTACAGCTTGGTCGTGTGACACTCATCTCCTTAGGCAGCAAAACTGAAAGTTTACAGGCAGGTAGATTTAAAAGACAAATTAGAAAATGAAGCCTTTTGGATGAATCCTGCAGTGACAGTCTGCTAGTGACTGCCGGCAGCTGTGTTCTCCATGGAAGGAGCATTGACTCATTTCTCCAGTGAAGTCTGGCATTTCATTTGGAAGTCTGCCTGATGATGACTGATACCAGATCTTTCACAGAGCAGAGAATCCCTTTGATGGGCAGCTGATGTTTAATGACAGCCTTATGTCCTGAGGCATGATGGTATGGATGTTTCGGGAAGTGGAATTCCTTCTTGAGTGCAGTTGGTTAACTATAGGTGACGTTACCCCTAGTGATGGATATATATGTATATGTATAAATTCTAAACTGCTGTTGGTGCCATAGTGATTTGAATAGTTTAGTAGGCTGGACACATTATAGAAAATGCTTTTGGTTTCTTTCCATTTTCCTGGCCACTGTCTGGCTGTTTCTGAAAGTTAGATGAGTGTTCAATGTGTTGCCTCTGGGGTGTTTGTCAAGTGGGATGATTTTGAGCTCTACTTCATCAGCATTACCAACCACTGACCATAAAACTTAAAAGCTGACTGTATTCAAACTAGTATTTCTGAATCTGCAATTTTCGTTTTTTGTTTTCACTTTTATGTTAAAGTTGAAGCAACTTTCTGCACTGTTTCTTTCATGATTTCTAGCACAACACATTGTAGATTGATGTGATATTTCAAGTTGACATGTAATAATCTTGATTGTTGAAATTCTGTTTGATGCAGGCTGAAATGAAATTAGTGAGCTTAGCTTGATTTTACAACTCAAGTGTCTCCTATGAGAGTGATAGTGAAAAAAATTAACAGCTAATTCTTCTTGAACCTCCATTTTAAAAGTTCAAAACAACACTTTTCAGGAGATGTGTGCAATTCTGTAGTTTTAATCTCCATTTCTAAGGAAACAAGTTATGTGCAGTTATGCATTCTGTCAGTTGCTCTAATAATTTTTAGTTACTCTAACATGCTGGCAAATTGCAGCCACCTTTGGCAGTGGGACAGTTTCTACAAGTCATGTGGAAGTGATTCCTGTGGAGCAGAAATGAGACTGAAGTGCTGCTTGTGTTGAGAACTCAACCCTTGTTAGACATTAGTGCAGCTCTAGAGACAAGAGAGTTTAGGAATGCCTGAACTAGAAGAGGCTTTGCTCTCTTACCTTCTTAGACAAGAAAAGCACTTGATGACAATGAGACATGTTTCAAACCAGCTTTGAGCATTGAAATTAGTTGTTTGATACAGAGCTGTTAAAAGCAGTAATTCATTCTATCAAAAGTTTGAGTCCAAGGTGTTTTTTTCCAATTTTTTCTAATACTTCAAATATATGGTTTGCCTGAAGCAGAGTAACTTGCTTTTTTTTTTCTACTTGACTTGTTTGAGATAACCACTTAAAGTCTGCTGATTTCCAGCTGCTCTTTTACAAGAAGTTAGTCTAACTTAAAAACAGTGATTGGGGCATCAGGAATATTTTGTATATCACTTCCTAGTGTCTTTGAATGTATCTAGGGATTTGCATATTGGATTAAAAAAAATTAGTTACTTGTTTTCCTTTAGGCAAAATACTTTCTGGGATATGTTGACCTACTGCATGGGAGTGTATATATACAGACTGGTCATTAGTTTGTTTTCTAAAGTGTTCATTGTGGTTGTCTTTCAGAGATATGTGAGCTGCTGCATTATTCTTCTAACACCTTGCACTGAATACTCATGGTATGTCTCAAGGACAGATCTCTTGTGTGTTCTGAATGTACCAGGTAAATCCCAATAGTAACTTTTCATGGGAGATTGTGACCTGTTAAAGAGTAAGAAGTCAAGAGAGGAGAACTTATGTTCTAAGTTTAGTCCTAGTTGATTCTGTTAAAAGGGCCTAAGAGGCTGTAACCTAAAATTAATTTTTGTATTGTCTGTTTTACTAGAAAATCAGACAACAGCAACACCAATGCAACTATTCCCAACACTTAGTGAAGACGCAGCTTAGTCAGTTTCCATCAATACCTTTAAGTACTTTACTCAGCATTTCTGATGGTTGGAGTGAAGCAGGAGGGAAAACAGTGATATTTTTCCAGTAGATAATTCACCTGTCAAACCCCCTGCCTCACCTTTTTGTTTGAAAGAGGCAAACAATGGACACAGCTGTGGCCTTTGAGGATGGTTTGGTTGCCTTTCAATGGCAGTGGTGTCACAAGAGGTATTGTTCAGTGGTGAATGAACTCTGCCCGTCACACATTTCTGGCTAGCAGTTTGAGTTGTAAGTAACTAGTATCACATCCACTAATGTGCTATTAACCTAATTGAATATTTCGTTTTCAGCTTGTCCTCATGAGTGCTCCAGTGGACAATGTCCATGATCTTCTTTGCCTGTGTGGTGCGGGTGAGGGATGGACTTCCCCTCTCAGCCTCCACAGATTTCCATTTCAACCAGGACTTTCTGGAATGCAGAAGGAGACTGAAGGCATTATCCTCAATTCTGGCACAGTATCCCAGTCGAGGCACAGCAAAAGGACGTGACCTTAGCATACAGTGAGTCCCTGCTTCTGTGTGAAATGGTTGTCCTGGGGATTAGTTGAGTATTTAAGGATTAGGTATGTTCTGTAGTGCCTAACTCCAGTCTGAAATCCCACGATGCATGTCTAGATATAACCTGCAAGCAGTATTTTGAAACCTCCTTTCTCAGCACCACTGCCACACAGCTCCTGCTCAGTTTAGGAAGCAAATATTAAGAATTGCTTATTTTAGTTGTAATTATTTCTAGCAAAGGCATTGTGATCAGTGGGCAGTGCTTGTTGCTGTTAGCAATTGGAGTATCTTGGACTCCTACAAATACCTCCTAAGGTAGTGTGGTAGTGCCTAGGACTTAATTAGTGTAGTCTAAACCCCAAACACTTTTCTTTGGTGACTGTCAAGGCTTGCTGATGCCTTCTCTCAGGCTCCTGCAGTTCTATGTCAGGCTGGCACACAACTACCCTGACCCCCTCCTACATGCTGCCCACCCGATTTTGTGAATACCAGCAGGGTTCAAGTCTTTAGAAGCTCTGGCTGATGGGTGTGTCTTGAGGAGACCTGAAGCTCACCAATGATAGTGGGGAGAAATTATACATCTTTTTTTTTATTTTATTGGCGAGGGATCTGCTAATCTTTATTTTAAGAAACTGAGTTTTGATTCAGATATGATCATTTTAACTTATTACTGATTTTAGTTTAGTTCTAAAAATGAGTTTTAGCTTGAGGTTGCATTTCTGCTTAGCCACTATCAGAAAATCTAAAGTGACTGAGCTAAAACTAAGTATCCCTTTTTGCAGCAGTGGTTGGAGAACAAAGATCAGTGAACTTACACTAAATCAATTGGAAAAGCAAGGATTAGCATTTTAATTCCCTTTCCCTCAAAGTGAACTTGTGCCCTCTAATGCTAACATGTTCTACTGCTTTTCATCTTCTGTAGTCACTATGGAAGTAGCTGAGTGTCTGGCTCTGAAATGAGAAGAGTGCAAACAGATACTTGGCAAAAGGGCTATAAATTATTGACATCTGGGAAAAGGTAGTTTTCCATATGCATGGTGCTGATCCTCAGCTGTGAGCTGGGGACAGAAGGAATTCAGGGAACGCACACAGTGTGACTAGGCTGTCACAGAGCTAATCAAAACCATAAAACCTGAGTACAGACCATAACCAAATGTGATAAAATAAAAATCACAAGTATTTCTATGTGAGAGAGATGAAATGTATAAACAGTAGAAAATAGAAAATACAGAGAGAGAGTTCAGCTTCACAACTTTGGTTTCATACTGAAATTCTACAAAAAAACAAACAAAAAGGCTACCCTAGAAGGGGAGATTTCACAGAATCACAGAATGGTTGGAGTTGGAAGAGACCTCTGGAGATCAAGTCCATCCCCCTTGCCAGAGCAGGACCACTGCAGAATCTAGGGCAGGTCACACAGAAATGCATCCTGATGGGTCTTGAAAGTCTCCAGAGAAGAAGACTCCACAACCTTGTTGAGCAGCCTGTCCCAGTGCTCTGTTACCCTCACAGTAAAGAAGTTCTTCATGTTGAGGTGGAACTTCCTGTGCTCTAGTTTGTATGCATTGCCTCATATCCTATCACAGGGCATTGCTGAAAAGAGACTGGCCCCTCTTTCTTGACACCCACCCTTCAGATATTTATAGTCTTCTCTTTATCAGACCAAACAGCCCCAGGTCTCTCAGCCTCCTCTCGTAAGACAGATGTTCCAGTCCCTTTAATCATCCTTGTAGCCTCCATTGGACTCTTTCAGTAAATCCCTGTCCCAGTCTTCTTGCAGAGATAAATACAAATCGGTAATTATGGTGAGATTGTGGGAGTGTAGCTATGCATTCTGAGTGCTGACACCTGAACTAGGTGCTCTGACTCCCATCTTTTTTAATGAAGCATAAATGAGAATGATTTCACTCATCCTTCAGTACCTTCCTGCATTTTGCCCAGATGAAGTTTTCTAGAAGGTTTTGGGCTATCTGTGAGTGGAAACTGCATATATATGGCTTCAGTGTTAGAGGGACTCCTTTTGGAGTAGGATTTTTATGGTGCTGTGCCTGATACAAATCATCCTTATTTGTTACAGATGACTAAGCAGTAACAGTGTTTGAGTATCTTGCTTTATGCAAGTTAACAAATACCTTTTGCTGTTAATTTGAGGTTGTCAAATTGAAGGGGAGCAAGGAACACATCTGCTTCCTGCCAGCAAGCTTGCTTGTTTTTATGTTTGTAGAAAGCCACTGTATTTTCTTTCCAAATCTTCTTTTCTACGATATTTTCTGGCTATCTCTTTTCTTATTAATGTGATTTAAAGCCAGCCTGGGAAAATAATGTCCTCAGTTTTCATGGGTGTAGAAATTTTATAAAATCTGGAGCTCTTTAGTATGCTCAGGCATGCTGGCTAAGTTAAGAAGTGTTAGATCTACAGGCTTGCAGGATTATTATAGCAGTGTGAAAAGTATTCTTTGCAGTCTGTACATTTTGTTTGGACAGAAAGCACACTTCTTATGTTCTGCATAGCCCTCTTACCTCTTTATGTTGATATTATGTATATATCTCTCTTTTTTATTACAGTTTCCTTTCTTCTGGGGATATTGCCTGCATGGCAATCTGTTCCAGCAATTACTCTACCATCATGGCATTTTGCTTCCTGGAAGAGCTTCAGTCAGAATTTGCTGCTTCCTACAGTACAACAAGCATCAGTTTAGCTTCCAGACCATATGCTTTTCTTGAATTTGGTTTGTAACTTTGTTCTTTAATAGTAAGAATTCTGTGTCTACCACTGTTATGATGTTAAACAATGTTTTCTGGCCAAAGCCTGATCATAAAAATGAATCTGTGTGTGTGCCTTTGCATACAAGTGTAGGAGGAGGGGGAGGTCTTTTAACTGCGTGAAGCTGTTAGATTGCTTGTTTTGCAGTTCTTGAGGGCCCTTCTAATAGCTGAACAAAGTGCTGTGGTAATTAATAAACAAGCACAGAAGAAAAAGAAATCCACATTTCAAACACTTTCTAACTCAATTTAAAAAAATCTGACCAGTGGAGATGGGTGGCAGGAAAAAAAAGGAGACACAACAGATTACTATGGGCAGCTTTACTTTTGGCATGACTTAATTCACATAATTTTTCATAATCATGCCTAATGTTTCTTTTTTTCACCTGATATAAATGGTTTTCTTGGCAAATGCTCTACTGAACCTCACACCTTTGAAAAACACAATTTCCTTGCAGTGAGAAATTCTTTTCTGGGAAAGGATGAGATATTGCAGGGGGTTAGCACACTTGAATCCAAATTTTGGTAAGAGTGTTAACCTCTTGCTTAAAAGATTGAAAAATCAAGAAGGAAAGCCTGTTTTACAGCCATCTTGTATTTGAGGTAGATTCCCTGCAGGGCATGATATAGTTTTATACTGAGATGCAAATTACTCCTTTTCTTAACTTGAGTAGGAATTGGAGATTTTTTAGTCTTAAAACTCTTTTAGTTGCATAAGGCTATTTTATTTTTTTTAAAAAAGGCAATTTCTTTTTTCTTCATTGTTGCTTTTATATTGTATTTTGTTGCTGAGTCTATCTAATGTTGCCATATGATTTTTTGTTTTATTTTCTTTCTGTGTTTGAAAGTAAGATGCACTTGATGCCTAAGATCTTAGCCTTTTGCCTGGTAGTTACAGATAATTATATCAGTCTGACTGAAAGTAAAATACAGGATTTTTCATTAAGGAATCCTTCTACCACTGTGTGTTATAGCACAACATACAGTCCTCCTGGTGGTCTCAAAGCTGCTGCTTAAGCTGTTGCACAGGTGTCACATCCAGCAGTAACTGTGGTCAACCTGTGCAATCTCTGCTGTGGAGACAGGCTGAGGGAGTTGTGGCTGTTTGGCCTGGAGAAGGCTCCAGGGAGACCTTAGAGCCCCTTCCAGTACCTGAAGGGGCTCCAGGAAAGCTGGGGAGGGCTTTTTTACAAGGACAGGGAGTGACAGGACAAGGGGTAAGGGTTTTAAACTGAACGAGGGAAGATTTAGGTTAGACATCAGGAAGAAATGCTTTACCATGAGGGTAGGAAGGTGCTGGAATAGGTTGCCCAGGGAGGCTATGGAAGCCCCTTCCCTGGAGGTGTTCAAGGCCAGGTTGGATGAGGCTTGTGCAACCTGATCTGGTGGGAGGTGTCCCTGCTCATAGCAGGGAGGTTGGAACTTCGTGATCTTTGAGGTCTCTTCCAACCTCAGCCATTCTATGATTCTGTGATTGTATGATAAGGCTTCTAGCATGACCTTATCTTAAGGATATGGTTTTTAAGTATAGGATATAATAGCAAATATTTATATTTATTTTATTTCCCAAAGCAATTGAAATTGCTTGAAATTGCCAATACCTTTGCACAATTAGGTAGGACATAGCAGTATCCACAATGAGGTGCTTCACCTCTGGAGGTGTGAGGAATTTGTACTGGGACAAATTCTGTGCTGAGTTTTGGAGCAGCTCCTGTCAAACCAGGAGCCAGAATTGTGGAAAGGGATTTACTTGCAAGTTTAAATTGCGAAAGAAATGAAGCAGGATGATCCATATGTAGATCTGTGGCTTGGACACTGGTGGAATCACTGTGGAATTGCCTCTGCCAGTCTGAGTTGCTTCATGACTCACATAAAGGTTGAATTAATTTATCTCCTTGCTGAAAAAATAATCTAATCCTTGGCATTGTTCAAACACAATGTGGAATTCCTTTTTGTGGTAGTTTGTGGGTAGTTTAAGGTATGTGTTAACATCTGCCTTGGAATATGAAAGCTTTTTTCAGTCAACTGGCAGGCATGATAAAAAAACTAGAAGGGAGTGGGTGTGATATAAAATACCTAGTAGCGGTATTTTTGTTCCTTAACCAGGTAGAATTTCATCATGGAATGATAGAATGGTTTGAGTTCCAGTAGCGGTATTTCCAAGCCCCATCCAACCTGCCCTCCAACACTGCCAGGGATGGGGCAGCCACAGCTTCTCTGGGCAACCTGGGCCAGTGTCTCACCACCTTCACTCTAAAGAATTTCTTCCTAATGTCTAACCTAGATCTCCCCTCTTCCAGTTTTAGTCCATTCCCTCTTGGAAGCCCTTGTCAAAACCCCCTCCCCAGCTTTCCTGGAGCCCCTTCAGGCACTGGAAGGTGCTCTAAGGTCTCCCTGGAGCCTTCTCTTCTCCAGGCTGAACAGCCCCAGCTCTCCCAGCCTGTCTCCAGAGCAGAGCTGCTCCAGCCCTTGGATCATCTTTGTGGCCTTTTTCTGGATCCTCTCCAACAGCTCCATGCCCTTCTTCTGTTGGGGGCTCCAGAACTGGACACAGTACTCCAGGTGGGGTCTCATGAGAGCCTGGTAGAGGGGGAGCATCCCCTCCCTGGCCCTGCTGGCCACAGTTCTTTAGATGCAGCCCAGGACTCAGTTGGTTTCTGGGCTCCCAGTGTGCGTTGGTGGCTCATGTTGATCTTCTCATCCACCATCACCCCCATGTCCTTCTCCTTTGGGCTGTTTTCTATCCGTTCTCCACCCAGCCTGTATTTGTACCTGGGATTGCCCCAACCCAGGTGCAGGACCTTGCCCTTGGCCATGTTGAACTCCATGCAGTTTGCACCAGCCCTCTTCTTAAGCCTGTCCAGCACCCTCTAGATAGCCTCCCTCCCCTGCAGCATGTTGACCTCACCACAGTTTGGTGTCATCTGCAACCTGAAACTAGTAAGAGAAGCTGTGAAGGAAGAAATTAAGAGCAATCAGAATAGAATGTCATGATTTGTTTAATAATTATCTAAAGCAATTACCTTCTGCAGAGCTAACTGAAGCATGTTTTTACATTGTTTCAGATAATGTTATTCAGAGAGTGAAACGCCAGTTTAACTATGCAAGAGGCTCTCAAATGAAGGCCAACTGGGAGAAGATTGAGGAGGAGCTGAAGTTCCAGCCCCCAGTTCAGCTGAGACTGGAGGATACAGAGCTGATGAATGGGATGACTAATGGTGGGCCTGCAGGTGTTCATGTGGAGGTTGGTAAGTTACTACTACACACAGGTGACACTAGACTTCCTGAAGTTTGCAAACAATAGGAAAACATGTAACAGCAGTGGTTCCATTTGTAGTGAGAAATATATATATCATGTATGTGAAACCCAAGGAAAAAAAAGCCTTTCCTTCATAGTAAACAACATATGGTCTTTAGGTTATAGCAGGTGTGCATCAGAGCCTTTAAGGACTCAGGACAGTGTCTTTTTATTCCAGCCTTAAATCTGCTTCTCTGTATGGACCATTGGTTGTAACTGGGCTTGGCATTTTCCATGTTAAATTCTCCTGCTTTTAAAATACTTGGTTGTTAGATTTTCTGTGACAAAAGAAGCTCAACTCATTCATGGTTTGTTGTCAACTCAAATAGAAGATGTGTAGTTACAGTCTGAATGAGTTGCTTCAGCCTTGAGGAAGGAAAAGATGAGAGTGTGAGCTGAGGGTAAATCTCTTCTTCCTAGACTTCCTAGTCTTGGTTGTTCTCCCCTCTTTGCTTTCTCCTTTCACCATATCCCATAACATTTAATCCATTTGACTGAAATTCCGATAGAGTATATGTGTATCTGTCTAAAAAACACATGGAGTCTTGACAAAAGGACCTTTATGTAACCTAATTTATTTGTAAACTAATGTTTTACCTGCTTTTAGAAGTACTAACCTCTACTGACATAGTGTAAAATCATATTGTGTTTCAGTTGCATGGTCAAAGTCATGCCTATTTCCTCTACAAAATGAAATCCCAGAATCATTTAGATTGGAAAAGATCATTGTGTCCAAGCATAAACCTGACACTGCCAAGTCCACCACTAATCCATGTCCCTGTTGGTGTGGTGGTTTTAAATGCAGCTGGGATGCAATGAGCTTGTGTTTCCTGCATTTTTGGGGTTTTTTTTTTGCTGTTCTTGGCTTATGAAACACTAATAAAATTAAGTTCTGGTTGCTCAATCTTATTGTTTCTGATGGATGAGCTGGAGTCTAATTTGTCACAGGTATTTTAAGTTAAAATTTAGAGGACAGTGGCCAGGAGGGAGAAATTATAGAATTGAAAACATTTTACTTGCCAGTCAAATTTGTGAGTGCTTCTCAGAACTGTGCTTGAAGGTTAAATATTTTCATGAAGCGACAGGGCCTCAAAATTCTTGGCACTGGTGTGAGCAGTTTCAGTGCCAGTAAACGTTTGCAAGCTAGTCTGTGTCCACAGATCAGAAATACATTTTCAGTTCCCCCATATTCTTAATCACTTTCTTTTACTTTCCATCTGGCTTTGTATTTCTGGCTGTTCTCTCTGGTCTAACCCAAATACTCTTCCAGATTGTTCTGCCTTTATTTTAAGGATCATGTTTATGATCATCTGTTTCCCTCAGCTGGAGTCAGCTTTCCTGGCTTATGTCTCTCTCCTCTCATCATTACCCACCAGCTGAATCCCACTTTGCTGCTCTAAGTTTAGCTGTGTGGATAGAGTTTGTTCCCATATTAATGTTATTTATATTATAGCTCTGCTATACAGGAGGCTTAGTGAGCATACCTGGAAGGGCTCTGATTGCAGGAGAGCAGAATTTGTTTTTACATTCTGTAGTGAAGATAGATCAATCAATGAATTGATCAAAACATCAGTCTCCTTACATGGTTGTAGCTGTTCCTGGCTTCTTTTGAGCTGTGTGGTGACATCCAGTGGCTCTTCGTTTTAGTGTGAAAAATCAAGGCAGTTTGACCTTGTTAGTATATATGGGAATAAGAGGGGCTTTTTTTCCCTCTTTAGTTCTCTCCATTCTTCTGTTTGTTCCCTCCTTTGTTAACTGAACCCAGTCTCATCCTAGAATTGTCTCCTTGATCAACATCTACCTAACCTCAGCTGTTGTTGCAAAAGCCTCACCTTGTGTCATGAGATGGGCAGGGCAGTCCAGAGGACAGTGGGGTGTGTATACAGAAGAAATGTGAAGTGCAGGTAGCTTTCTGTGAAAAGAGAGAGTCTCCACATCACAACTGGCTCTATTAAGTGGAAGAACAAATTGTGCTGTTCATCTAGTAAGCATGCTGTTAAACTGTGCAGCATTCTGCTCCCCTTGATGAATGTTCTTAATCTTTTGTAGGCACACAGGGAGTCCTTTCCACAGTCCTTTTTAAGGTGTTCTTTGAAGATGTCTCACGTCTGTCTTTTATTCCTGTCAATCTCTGCTTTCACAGCCAGAGGCCTCAGCTCACAAAAACTTGTATAGGCAGAAGTTTCAGTTTCTTCATTGTGTGAGGGTGTTTTCACAGAATTGTTCTGTACATGTTCTAACCTGCAGATCCATTTTCCCTGGGAGCTGGAAGATCCACAGTCCCCAGAACATCCTCTGCATGATTCTTGTACTTTGAAGTGCACAACTGTTCTACTTGAAGAGTCAGATTAGTTTGAAACCCAAGTAGCATTTGATTGTGCTGGTGCAAAATTGTGCTGACTTGGAGTGCTTGTACTCTCTTGTTCCCTTATTTAATATAATAAGCAATTCTAGTATGAAATTATCCTTATAAAAGCATGATTGAATTCACACAAGGAAGTAAAATATTTTTTCCCCAGCAGTACCCATCTCACTTGTTCTGTGCAATTTCAGTTTGTGAATTAAACCTCAATGATACAGCAAAAGTAAAGCTCCACAGGAAACCATTTAAAGATGAGTTTTCACAGATCTGAACCCCGAGCAACTGAATATTATCATTTCCCCTGCATCTGTGATAGCAATTCCTTTTATCCTACTGGAAAAAAAAAAAGGGGACTTTTACATTCATGCTGCAGAAGCAACTTATTGAGACTTGCATTGTCCTTCCCTGGGAACTCTTGACATGTATAGTTTGGAAGATCCTGTACAATGAATGACAATGGTGCTTGATAATTCTTCTTAATTTAAGGGAGACTGTGAGCCTCTAAAGTAAACCTTAGGAAAATGAGGAAGGAACAGTAGTCTTTATAAGGAAATTACCATGGAAGAGAGATACATAAGAACATGGAGCTCGTGGAGAAAGTCCAGAGATAACCAAAAAGATTATGCAAGGGCTGGAGCAGCTCTGCTCTGGGGACAGGCTGGGAGAGCTGGGGCTGTTCAGCCTGGAGAAGAGAAGGCTCCAGGGAGACCTTAGAGCACCTTCCAGTGCCTGAAGGGGCTCCAGGAAAGCTGGGGAGGGGCTTTGGACAAGGGCAGTACTACCATATTTAAGCTGTTAAGTATTTCATCAATCACTGAAGCAAAGCCAGAGGTGCTACCTGCTGTGTTGGTTAGTTTATCTATCTGTGTCAGTTAGTTAGGAGCTGGTTATGTCTGGACAGGAGGTAGAAAATCCTGAGAGCTGGAGAGATTTAGAATCATAGAATGAATTGGGTTGGAAGGGACCTTAAAGATCATCTAGTTCCAACCCTCCTGCATGGGCAGAGACACCTCCCACCAGACCATGTTGCTCCAAGCTCCATCCAACCTGCTTTTCAACATTTCCAGGGATGGGACTTCTTGAGGGCTTATTTGTTCTCTATCTCATGTGTGATGAGTTGAGGAAGGTTTGGGTTTGGTCTTTGAGGTACAGATTACCCTTATTGTTATGCTGACGATGGTCTAATTGTGGTGACACAAGGGCAGGGATGAAATGTAGGTGAGTATCTAGGTGTGCTATTTGTTGTCAGGCTGACTAGTGTAACTAGGGGAAAAAAGAGTAGCTGAGCTTTTGGGCAACTAAACCCCTGAATTAGAAGGGCTAGATTCTGAAGTTAAGCACAGGTTTCTAATAATTGCTTTGACCTTATTAGATACGTGTCAGTTAAGTGATCCTGAATAAATGGTATTTGGAAGTGTGGGTGTTCAGTAGTAGTGGAGAAGGTGAGAAAGGGAGGAGACAGTTTAGTGCCTGTGAAATGTAATGCACTGTAAAATGTAGCTTAAACACCAAAACCAATAGCAACCAGTTTAATTCCTAGGCCCCAGGTTTGACCATGTTTTGTCAGTCTGAGAGGCTCAGAGGTAAGAGTAAATATGCTGATCTGCTGTAATAAACAATTGAACAAACCTACGTGCACTATAAAAGAAGACAATAATAGCCACATAGCTCCAAACCAAATTCAGTTGCTTAAATCTGTTTAGAAAATACTCCAGAGCTCTTGGTGTCTGAAGAACTGCACAGTGTAATGCAAACAAAACAAAGTTTGTTCTGCTCATAATTGCTTTTCTCTGGAGCAATCATGAAAGGTTTTGGAAATGTTTAAAACCCACACAACGTGATTTGAGTAATTTTAAAAGAGTCAAAGTAACAGTGCAAACTTTCACTATTGTGTCTCTTTTATTAAGTCCCTACTTACAGAATGGAGCCTGTGACTCCCATGGGGATTCTGGCACTTGTTCTGAACATCATGTGTGGAGCTTTGAATCTCATTCGAGGAGTTCACCTGGCAGAGTATTCATTTCAGGTAACCCTGATTTAATTGAAACCTGTAGATGAGTCACAGGGAGAGAGTTATTTGGGTAACCAGATTAAGGGTGGCTGTTGGGCTTCTTAGTAGAGCATACATATTTCCACAAGAAGTGTTTTGGTTATCTGGGGAATGTACAATTGATTATTGCATCATGAGATGTGTTGTCTCCTGCAGCACATTGCATTTTATTCTTTTCTGGGGAGATTAACATTTGGAGAAATATTTCAGGCTTGCCAGCCTGGCTGGATTTCTCCACCCCCTATCTCTTCTATTTTGTTCCAGATACTTTTGTGTACATTTTATTAAAACAAATGTAAGACTCTATAAACAACTTTTAAAAAGGACAAACAAAAATGTCCTGTTGGTGTGATGGCACAGTTCTATTTAGCAAGAATTTTCATGCAAACCTCAGTTCTTGGTACCTTGTTTAATGATATTGATCTTGCTGTTTAACATAATCAGCATGAGCTAGGATGAGGGGCACTTGGTGACATACAATCTTCTAAAATATCCAGCAGTACTTGCTAAAAACTGTAGCTGACATAGTTGTTTATCACTTCTTTTTATCCAAACAGGAGGACCATGAAGGGATTGGAAATGTCATAGCTTTTTTGCTACTTTTTCTAGCCTGTGTTTTTCAGGTATGTTAACTGTTAAATAAAATGCTTCCTGACTATTTTGATATTGTACAACACAAGATTTTCAGCCAAGCAGAGGAATGGGTTGTTTGTTTGTATCCTACCTAGGTGATTCCACTGAAGTTTTCCAGTGAAGTGGCCCAAGTACAGTTAAAGACACAGTTTGACCCTTGGCAAATTGCAGGTGTAAGTTTTTCCAGTGCTTTCATGTTTTGACATGCCAAATGAGGCTGAGTATGAGAAATAAACAAGTTCTACTCCCAAAGGTGGTTTGTTTCCCAAAGGGATAGACAGGATGTCCTTCTGAAAATGGCAGACTGATGGGCTTTTATAGCATGACCACCTTAAAGACTAAGCAAATACAGGGTAGTAACATGTTCTAATTTACATTTAAAATCACTTTTAAGCTTGAGACAAATGTGGTTTCTGTCCTTACTTAGATTTTTATTCTAATACATTATTTTCTTTGACCTCTTTATTCAGAAGAGTTTGAATGAGGAAAATATTATATATTCCAAATGGATTTTTCTTGAAAGGTTCCTTAGGTGCCAAAACCAGTGATCTCCAGCCTTTCACTTTGAGGGGAATGGGTTTGCAAAATCTTCAATTTTTAGCCCCTGAGAGGAAGAAGCTGCTGTAGTTGTGTTACTAGTTGGCAGAAGGAATAAAAAAGCCTACAGTGTGATTTGTGTAACACTGTTGCCTTTGGCTAAGGGTTTGGGGACCACTCTGAAGACTTTTTATTTTATTGAGCTATGTATTGAAAACAGCAGAGAGGCTGTTTAATGTGTCATAACCTTGTCTCTCAGCCTTCTTCCACCTCTGCTCAGGGCAGAGCTATAAGATGGAGATATTAATTTGGCTCTAAATACTTTCTGCAAGTCTTTCTTCACAGAGAAAGGCCGTCCTGCTTTTTGCCAGTCAGTACCTGAAGCTAGAGGAGCTAAATAAGGAAGATTTCTCTCTTATCCTTTTCATCTCTCCCAGTCATCTTCAGAAAATGCATGTGCATAAATTGAGCTCCAATGTGGAGAACTTTCTACATGCTGATCTCTGCTTGTGTCAGCAGCACAGTTGGAAACTGTGACCTTAAGTGAGAAAGCATGATCTGTTGCTGCCTGAGTTAAAAAAGTAACTCCTGTGCCAGCACTTTGTCAGTTCTTAGTTTTCTCCGGTAAGGGTTGTTGCTCTTTACACATGCTTAGAAAATGTGTTCCACTTGTTCTTGAATTCGAAAAGAAAAAGAGCCCAAACCCCTAGCTAAGCCTGTTAACAAAAATGGTGGTCTTTTTACCAAGTCAATTAGAATTAATAAAGTAGAATTAATAAAACCTTTAGTTATTCCAAGAACAAATGCAACAGCAGCAGATTTGAGTTGGCTGTTTTCTTTCTTCTAAGCCTTTGTCTTGCAAAAATCAGAGGTGGGTTTTGAAAGCTGGCTGAGCTTTCATGCTGCTCTTAATCCAGGCTGAGACAGGCAGGCAGGATGCCAGTTGTGCTGAGACTTCTATGGATACCTGTGCTTGCCCAGTAAGATCTGGGTTGCAGCCCCCACTCCAGCTGTTCTTGGAGGACCTTTCAGCACAGGAGCTGGAGTCAAGCTTTGAGCTTTGAGTGATCACTGCATGGAAGTGCCAGCAGTTCCCAGCTGTGTCTCTTGTCTGTGGGTACAGAGCTTGATGCTAACACTGTCTCTCTTGTTCTTTTGTAGTGTTACTTGTACCTCTTCTACAGCTGGGCAAGGAAGGTGAAGACATTTGTACTCTTTTTCTCTGTCTGTTTCTGCAACATTTACTTGTATGGATTAAGGAACACCTGGCAAATAGGCTTTCACATTGGAGTGGCCTCTCTCTCTTCTTATCAGATACTGACAAGGCAACTTCTGGAGAAACAGCCTGACTATGGAGTATGAAGAAGGCTTTGTGTTTGCTACTTTATTTTTACAACTTTTTTTTTTTTTTTTGCATCAAACTGGCCAAAAATCACTTGGGGTGTTTCTAAAGATTCGTGACAATTGTCATTGCAAGGAAGATATTTCAAAGCAACTTGAAATTAAGTAAGATACTGCAATTGTGTCAAGCATGCAGTGAGGAATCTGGCTTTATCAAACATGGTGTGTGGTAATTGTGCATGGTAGATCTTGTCAGGTATCATCAGCAGGTGGAGGTTCTCCTGACCATAAACAGGCTTTTACTCCTTGACTAATACCAGCTAGACAGCACTTTGCCATTTGGCTTTGTAACAGTTTGGCAGGTCAATGTCCTGCCCTGCCAGTGCTTCTGAAAATATTGAAATTGTGTCATAAAATGAAAAGTAGTGGGTAACATTTTTGTCTAGAGAATTTGTTAAGCATTTAAGATTCTTGGTAAATGTAATGAGGAGGTGGTTGCCATAGTTAGATGAGTTCAATATCAGTGGGAAAAATTGTGAGGATGAGCTTCAGGGTAATTTTCCTAAGTTGTGAAGGAAAGGAAAAGGCTTTGGCCCTTTTAAAAAACACAAAGGCTATAAATATCTCCTGGCTCAACAGCACAGTGTAGTTAAATATGTGCTTGTTGGTTAATTGCAAATATGCTTGGGGCAGCATAAACTAAACCAAGTGAATGTAAGTGATCTTTCAGCTCAAGTGGCCTTTATTCCTTGGTTAAGGTCACTTTTAGTATAAGGGTAATTCCATGTTTGCTCAGTCTGTACAGATAATAAATCTTCCAAGCCCTACTTAGGATGGGCCACTGACTCCTTCACCTCTTTTTAAAAAAAAATGGGGTAACTGGTGAGCAGAAAGCCATTTCCAGTAATGGAAAGCAAGAGCAGGTTCTCTTTATTATAGCAAACACCTTTAGTTAATGGTGTTGAGTTCTTAAGCTCAGATGAATTTGTGTGTGCACTTTTGAATGCAGTACTGAAGAGCTAAAATTCTTAACCTCTGCTGCACTGGGCATTCTTTTATGTCATGTTTTGAGGTGCGTATGGGCATTGTAGGACACAGGTGTATCATTTAGGCTGTATATTTAAAAAAAAAATGCATAGCATTTTGATGCAGCTGTCCTTGAAGGGTTGTAGATGTTTCAAATGAGGAGATGTAGAGAACTGTAGGTGTGTTATTGTGGAAATATGGTCCTAGATGGTATTTTTTTTTTTTTTTCTTAGGAAACTGTCCCCTGGTCATTCCATTTCTTACACCAGACATTTCTCACCAAAGATCTTTTTCCCTCTCATATAGTCTCTACCTCTAGTGGTTGCAAAGAGATTAACATGATGCAGAGTTGTCTTCCTGAACTGGCAGAAACACGTCACAAAATTGCTTCCTTGCATCTCAGTGAATTTCCCCAAAATCTCATGATGCCAACTTCAGTATCAGTGGACCAGCAACTGTGGTGCTGTAGCTTGGAAGCACTTCTGTGGTGCAGCTGAGTGCCACAGTGGCATTGATAGGCAACCCTTTGAAACCTGAACAGTTTCTAGGACATCAAGAGACTTGATGCCAGGGCTTTTTCAGGTAGAAAAATACAGGTATTTCTCTTCCATCCCATGTTGGCCTTTTCACTGTAACACAATTAAATCCTTTTAACTGTGAGGAACAGTCTAGTAGGAATGATGGAGGGATATTTTAGCCAGGCAGTTAAGAAAACAGCTAGAGCTGTGTGTCATAAGGGAATACTGGTCTGTTCTAAGGGACTGGATTAAAGTTGTTTGTCATTACCCTGGTTTTCCACCAGAATGTAAGTGGAGAAGTGGAGCCAAAATTCAGCTGTTGTCCTTAAGACACCAAGATGACCCCACAGGTGTAGGAGTTTTAGTACTGACAAGCTTTAACTTTTCATGCTGTTTAGTCCCATTTTTACTTGGGAAGGTGCTCTTGGAGGAGACTGCAGGGAATTAAACCACAAGTTTGGATCACCAGTTTAAAAAAAAACCTCACAATAAAATCAGAAGTCAGGACACCCCCGAAAATCTCATGCCAGAAACTTAATGTTTGATCAAGGATACTGGATCTGGTGACTGAGTGTGTTTTCCAGGAGCATAAGCTGGGTATCAGCCCACAGGATTACTGTGAGAATCTTCCTAATGGGGAAAGGATGAAGGATTTTACACCACAGACAGAACTTTGTGGAGAGGACGTTGGTGATATGACCCAACTCCCTGCTCCTAACCTTTTAGCCTCAGTCTGACTAAAGAGTTCAGAGGTGATCTACTGTTTCTCCATAGGTTTGGATATATAGCTTAAGGCAAGCAGAGCATTTACAAGGGAGGCAGGGGCCAGTGAACATGGTCTGCTTTTCACTCCTCGTTATCAAGCTGATCAGAATGTTCCTGGTGCTTCCTGAGCATCTGACTGTTCACTTGATCATAAAACAAATGCATCCCTGTGCCAGGTGATGTTAGCAATAGCTCTGCAATCCAAGTGGTAGAACAAGGTGTTCAGATAGCTTGTGTAATGAACATAACTAGAGCAGATCAAGATTAAATTAAGCTTTTGTTTAATCTCTTCTTTTATCCTGAAAATGTTTCAGTAAAATAAAACCAGTTGGTTCAGTTCTGCCTTCATGCAAATTTTAGATGGAGGACATGACTGGATCTTTACAACTAGATGATCAGACCTCTGTTTAGCTCTTAATCCCTTTGCAACCTTTTCTTTGTTTTACCCTGTAAAATGTGTAAACCATATTAAGGAATCTATGTGGATTAAGGAATCTATGTGGATTAATAAGTGTGCATTAGTATCTGCACACTGTGTAGGTTTGGATTGTGATTCAGGGATGAGGCAGAATTTGACCTATTTTTTTTTTTTAATGTTAGTGTTTTGAATGGCTTCTATATCTGTAAGGTATTTATACAGTTAAATTTTTTTCTTCTGCTGGAATAACAAGAGGAACAGAATAATTTACATTGATCTCAGTGCTTTAAGATTTAATAAAAAAGAATGACTTGCAGCTGGAGTACATGAAATCTGACTCAGAAGTGGGATTATGCCTGTGTTGAATCAAATCCCCAAACAGGAATCCGTCCCTTTTTGTTCAACTTGAAACTGTTTAATGTAGTCTGAATTGCAGCTCCTTAATCCTGGCAGTTTTCGAGATAAGTCCTTTGGAAACTCTATTTTTTTTTCCTCACCCAGCAGCTCAGTGCAAGAAAATTGGCAAAGTATAGACTTCATTAATTTAAAGATTTGCTGTGCTTAGTCACTTTATACATTTTCTTTGGATTTTATGGTGGGTTTTTTTTCTTCCTCCCAAAGATCTGTTAAGTTTATAGAAGGTGGGCTGGTACCTTTTTAGACATTTTTGCACTGTATTAATAATTGAACCTGTGTAAATGTGTATAAATTACTTTTGCATGTTTCTGTATATATGTACATATATCTAATAAATGGCTTTTTTCTAATGCTTGTCTTTGTTTATAGATTTTAAATAGCTGAGTGTGTTAGAAAAAAATCTGGCTGAAGATGCAAGTAAAACTGAAATGGGTAGTGTTTCATGTGGCAGAGTTCTAACTATTTTAAGAATAAGCTCAGTTCTTTAGTAAATAGCTTCAAAATCAGTGATCTTCAGTGCTGTTCTAGTGCACTCTGGGTTGCATGTTCTCTCTTACAGAAACACCTGAATGAACTCAGGGTTTTGCTCCCTGATACCTAACCTGCCTGAGTTCACACTGATGCTTTTTGGTTCAGAGGCATTTAGGTAGGTTTTTTATTCCATCATCATCTGCTGAACTGTATATTTATAAATAGGGATATAGAAACTTGCTTATCCAAGCAACAGATTGCAGTGGCTGTGCCATAATCTCTGGGTAGCTTTAACAGTCTTTCTCTTTGCTTTCAGAGACCATGTTATATGGCTTTTCCTGCAAAACTTGCATTTTTGGAGTGTAGAAGGATGTGAAGATGTGACCTCATCCCACAGGTTCTTTCCCAGCTGCCTAGCAGTGAGTAAAGGAGTTTTTGCAGGTTGCTGTTAGGTTTTCAGCCTGGTCTCTTAATGGAACTAGGTCTGCTAGTTCTACAGTCCCTTCTAAGAGCTGGTGGACTTTATTTGGCCAATTTCAGCCACTTTTGATGGAGGCTTTAGAGACACTGATTCACCAGGTTCTGTAAGAAATTAATAACTTGATGTAACAGAAAATTCAGCTTTCCCACCACCCAAATGTGGTGGGTTCAGATATTGGCAGGTGTTCTGTGAATGGCAGGACTCGGAGGCCTCTGCCTACTTAGGAAACAAAGAATCTGGTAAAAATCAACAAGCTGGAAGAAATTTGGCTTGTGAAGCTATTGGTTACATCCCATTTTTTGGCTCTTCATTTCTCCACAGGCACCAAACCTAGGTACCCATACCAAAGCAAAACATGATAGGTAGAAGTTTGAGTTCTACTGGTTTGCAATGTCTAAAGAAGTGAAAACATCTCTAATTTCTGAGGCTTATTCTTTATCAAGAAGGCAGTTGTGAGTAAAGGGGATCTGGGAGAACTCCAAATTCTTCAGCTTTTAAAACAGATCCCACTTTTTGCCTTGACTGGGCTTTTTAGCCTTGGAGCTTGCTCAGGTGCTGGCTTGGGGCACAGAAATGTCAGCAGTTGGTTTTAAACAGAATCATAGAATGGTTTGGGTTGGAAGGGACATAAAAGATCATATAGTTCCAACCCCCCTGCAAGGGTAAAATAGTTATGAAATAGTTACAGTGCTGCAGCACTCCTTGCTGTGCTGGAGAGAGAAGCCTGTGTGTGCCCCTGTAAGGAGGAAGGAGGCAGAGCAGTAGGTTGTGCAGACAGGAGGTGGGAATAAGCAAAAGCTGATGGCAGGGGAGGGAGAAGAGAAGCTTATTCTTCTGAACTGCCTTGCCCTTTGAAATCTAGATGCTATTTTTGTTCTGTAAATAAATGATTGCTCAAAGCTTGTTTTTTCTCAAGATGCCAGTG